AATAGTTCAAGTTCCTATATTAGATCATTTAGCCTTAGACAGTTTTAAAATGAAGAGAAAGGTTAACAGAAGATGTTACATCAAAAGGGGGATGCTGAGTAACTAAACATTCTGTTTTACTGATATCTTTGCAAATGAAATACAAAATGAGAGAAACAGAAGAAATACAGAGATTATTAGAAGATACCAGGATATTATCTATTCTGAATCAATCTCAGAGAATGGTACTCATCACTTTCATTCCTTTCTACTCCAGAAATAATTATTTATACAAAACCTACGCTGGTGTTCTGTTAATCTGTGACAGTCTTAGACATATAACGTTTTAGAGCTGGAAAAGTATGGTTCTATAGTTCAAGTTCCAGCTATGCCACTTACTGTAAATATAAAAAAAGTATTGAACTTTTCTCATAAATTTATTCTGAGAATTTAATGAGCTAATACATGTAAAGTACATAAGACAAATTATATTTCAATCCCTCAATTTCACAGACAGGGAATGTAAAGCCTAGGAAGGTAAAAACTATTTTGTCCCAAATCACACAACTACTTAGTGGCAGTCAGAACTAAAAGTCAAGTCCCGTGAGTGACAGTTTAGTCATTTTGTCACCTACAATTTGCTCTAAATGACTGTCTCTCTAGCTTTGGCCAAAACTTTAATTATAAATTTTCAGGCCCTGATTACAAATAAAGTAAAAATGCAAAGATTGGATAACTATGTGTTGACTAATAGGTAAAATGAAGAGGCAAGCAGCGACATCCTGCAAAGGGGAATTTGTCCAGGAGGCGTTCACTGTTACTGGCCAAATGCTAAACTATCACTGCTCCCATTATAGGTCTGAAGCCGCAGGGCAATACATTCTAATCTTGATCATAACCTTATCCTGGAGTATAAGAAAATCCAGGACAACCCGCTGAACAGGAAGAGTGTGACAGCTAAAAACTGTTGACCTCTCTTGTGCTACACTAAGATCCTCTTACTCTTTTGCTCTGAGAAAAAAGATTAATTTTGAGTTTTTCTCTAAATAATATTTACAAATAATGAATAGGATTAAGAAAGAAAATATAATTATAATAGTTTTTAGAAGTGGTAGTCATATATTACTAGGAATAATGCAAACATTGATAAGTAACCAAACCAGAAAACATTTTAATCCTCATTAACAAAAATTTGATAAAGCGCCAACGCATTTTACACCTACAATGGAATAAACCAGGAGAAAAATAATATATTCAAATGAAATTAAAAATAGTAAAAAGCTGTAATCACTAACATTTAGCTCTTTTTATCAGTCACTACCAAGTTATTAGGAGATCTGAAAAGTTCCCTTGACTTGGATTTTTGAAGGCTAGTAAGAGAAATACCAATTGGAATAGCAGTGGAAAGTTATTCTAAATATATAAACTCAGTGGAAAACAAGAGGGAAAAAAAGGTAGAAAAAAGTCAGAGAAAAGGAGAGACAAAGATTTTGGCAAATGTAGGGGAAACCTAAGAATTAGATACTTAAAAGAGAATGGCAAACCTGCAAAGGGATTTGAAATGATTTGGCAATGCAAAGAAGCAACTCTCGGGCAAAATAGAAAGGAAAATAATATAATGTGGTCAAGACTAAGATGGGAAGTTCTGAAATGGAAAAGAGGACTTGAGAAATGGAAGGGAATATAGCAAGGCAACATTTCCTCTTCTGTTCTGACTCTCTTCTAATAGTTTTAGAAGAATATTGCAATTTAAAACTTTGAACATACTTTGTAAAATGTATATTACTATTGGCAAAGAGAAACCTACACACAAAGAATGAGAGGATAAGAATCAGGACAGTAATTCATCGAGGAGTGGCTTTCAATGCACTTGTATATATAGCCAATAGATGAAGTTGAGACAAACAAAATTATTTTAGAGGTGATTCTATGGTCTATTTTATATTTTAAAAATTGAAGGTGCATTGTCAATGGATGTCTCCCTTTCTCTAAGAAAAATGAAAATCATAATGCAAATGAAAATCCAGTTAATTTGGTCCTTATGAAATGGTACATACCCTGAATTAACTGAGCAAAATGTAAAGAAATGCCTGATTTTCAGAAATTCTCTGGGAATTCCAGAAATAACAACAAGGTTTCTATTATGTTTTAAATCACTGTTCCCATACTTTTACATTTTTCAGTGCATAGCATCCCTAAGTTTACAAAGACTTGACTGTGATCTTTGGGGCCAACCAATCTTAACAGGCAACTAGAATAATTCATAGGTAGAAGGATACATATAATTATCCAAAATTCCTCATAGGCAATAGAGAAGACTGCTTTTAGATTTGTGACACCAGGGTACAACTATCCACCAAGAAAGTTAAAATGCAGCAAAGCACAACTTTAGAAGATATAAACAGAACTTCAGTTAAATGAAAGGCTTGGCTAACCACAGTTGAGTAAACCTGAGTTGCAGTGTAATCTGATAAGGAGCAAACAGCATGGATTTCAAAAGTGTAAACCACTCGTCCCTAACAAACTAGAGTTCTTTGAAAGAGTTAATTAAATAGTGGATTAAAAGAACTGATATACATAATTCAAAATGTTGCTTTTTAAAAATAAAGTTTCTCATAAGAGAATACAAAGAAAATTTAGTAACTGTTGTGGATTAACATTGATTAACAGACAATAAACCAAGACCAAGACCAATATGGAAATTATCCAGAAATTAATACTGGATGCTAGTGTAAAAATGTATTAATGGTCTAGAATAAACATATATGGACAGAAAGATGAAGACTAAAAATTGCCAATGACATAAAACCATCCACTGTAAAGCCTGAAAGTCCTTGCTAAGATATGATGAAATTCTCTTTTCAGAATGTAAAGAAACAACACTTAAAATATACTGATAGGCCGGGCTCGGTGTCTCAGTCTGTAATCCTAGCACTTTGGGAGGCCGAGGTGAGTGGATTGCCTGAGCCGGCGGGTTCGAGACCCGCCTGGGCAACTTGGCGAGACCTCATCTCTACAATAAATGAAAAAAATTAGCTGGGCGTGGTAGCATGCACCTGGGTAGTTCCAGCTACTTGGAAGGCTGAGGCGGAAGGATCGCCAGAGCCCAGCAGGTCGAGGCTGCAGTGCAGGAGCGGCCACTGCACTCCAGTCTGGGTGACAGAGTGAGACTCCAACTCAAAAAAAAAAAAAAAAAAAAAAAATATATATATATATATATAATACATATACTGATAGGCTCAAAGTTAATAGCTAAAAAATAAAAATAAAGCCCAAGATTAGCAAGGTTTTCCAGAGTGAGAAAAAGGGCAGAATAAGAGAAGTTATAAAGACTGATAAAATAATGAACAGCCAAGAGAATGTCAACTGGTACCTTTATGAAAACACAGAAAATTTATGTAGCACTTTATGACAACAGAAGACAACACATTTAAAATAAAAAAGGAAATCATTTTATGTAGCGTATAATTAGGCCATTGAACATACTATCACAGGACATTAATAAGGCACAAAGCCTCATGTGGCTCTCAAAAACCTGAGAGATATCAAAATATGGCTCTATAGTAAAATTACTTATAGCAAAAATTAAAATGGAGCATACACCTCTTGCTTCAGGGTATTAACTAGGCAAGATCAGGAAGAAAGTTTCCTTTCCAACTGCTTTCAATTTAATATTGATTCAAAATCATTTATGATTTCAACTTTTAAGTATTCCTCGTTCCATTTTAGAGTCCAAATTAAATGATACTCTTATCCAAAAAAATCTTATGCCATTTTTTTTCAGACACACTCTTTTTTCCTCCTTATTTTTCTAAATAGCAGAGCCTGCCATTTCACCCAATTCTTCTTCCACTTCACTTATCCCAGCAATGAAATATTGCCTAAGCAGTAATAATGAAGAGCCACTAAACTGTATATTTAAAAAATCTGTGGTTGGAAAAGAATCTATAATTTGTTTAATTTTCCTACCTTCTCTTTATAAGCAGACAATAATTTAAATTCATACAATACTTTGGTGCTGTTAATAGTTTGTTCATGTCACAAAATTAAAATCTGAGTTTGGATGCTGAGATAGATCATATTTAAGACTATTTGAATCTGTGTCCAAAAAACGTCCTTTTATATAATACACCTTAATCAATAAGCACCATCGTTTTATGGAGTAAGACAGTAGAATGCCCATTAAAAAGGTACAGCCCTCGACTCTGCCTTTACCATGGGGAATGAGCAATTGGTCTATGTCATGCTACAGCCCAAGTCAATTCATAAATTCAACACAAAAAATAGGTTGTGTATGAATGAGCTCCAGGCAAAATTCATAGCCTAAAAGCCAAATAAACTGTGTCTAAAAACCTTAGTGAGTCAATAAAAAAATGATATTAACTCTAAGTTTTTGAAAATGATAAAATTATGGGTAGACAAGATTTAAGTGATCAGGAGGCAGGTTTATACCTTGTGTCCATTTTGTAATCCAGTCCTCTCCATTTTGGGCTTAGCGATAGGGTGCCACACATGGTGTAAGGCCAGTCGTAGCATTCAAGCTTGACTGAATTTTAAAAGTGACATAGTAATCAAATATGTTCCAAGGGCATTCTAGAATTTCAGGTGACGCTGACCATAATAAAATCAAACTTCTTAGTGCTTCAAATTTAAATAGGATGTAAAGTACAATCCTGAGGCCAGTTAAATACAAGCCCATATATTTCATCTATCAAAAATGAATGCTCAGAATATATCACTTGGGAAAAAAAAGGTTTATTATGTGTATCTAAAAAGACTCTGCAATACCAGTTAAAAATAAGCAGATAATCTTCTAAATTATAGGATTTATATATTTCTTCTCAAGTATAAAACAAAAATTTGCTTTAGAATGTCAATAAGGCAAGGCAATATCCTTAAAATATGGCACAAATAGAAAGCTAAACAGCAGAAGCCCTTGTATGGTATTTTATTTGGGAGACAAAAGAAGAAAGGCATATTTCAAACAGATGGAAAATGAAATATAATAAAGTTATACTTGCCTGCATTAGTTTTCCTTCTGCTGGAATTACTTCAGCAACACCAGCAAACACACCTTCCAAAGTGAGATTCAGTTTTCCTGTGGGGTCCATTTTCAAGGGGATCACTCTGATAATAGCTTTCTGCTCTGCTGATCTTTCAGACTCCACGGCTGCTGCCAGTACCAGTCCTGTGCGTCCAAAGCCTGCCTGCAGGGTAGCCATCAGCAGCCAGGGCCAGAGGGCAGCCAGCTGCAGCTGGTGGCCACCACTCATGCTACCAGCTGCAGCAATGCACTTCGGCCATACATACTGCTTCCAATAGCTAATACCAAGTGCAGGTTCTCAGATCCAGAAAAATGAAGGAAAAGAGAATTAATGCTTCAGTTTCAGAAAGGCAACTCGTAGTTCTGGCCCTTCCTTTCTCTAAAGTATATTCCCAAGAACAAGTGGCATGCCTGATTGGGCACAGAAGAGGGTATTTTCAGCCCACTTCTGCTGCAGGTATGTTATTTTCTCCCATCTTCACTCTGACTAGTAATATATCACCACTTCTCTTTGAGTTTCCAACTTTGCTTGAAATTGAATGTCACATCGTGAATTTTTATTATGTCAGATCACTTGGAGTTGTTCTTCCATATGCATCAAGTTGCAGGCACCAAACCCGATGTTCATGAACAAAACAAGGCAAAGTAAACAGCCAAGGCCATGCAGCAAAGATGAGAGTGAAGAATTACAGCTCAGAAAATGAAGGCAGTTTTTAAGCCACAACATTTGTCAATGGTAAATGACTAAACATAACAAACATAATTTTGTTTTTAACACAGGAGAAGAGAGAACAATAATATTCAGGCCACACCTTGAGGGATGTCCAAAGATGCCACAACATGTATTTAGAAAAGCTTCCACATTAAACTGTATTTCAGTGTAGCCAAAAGTCTAGGCCCATTGAATTTACATATTTTTCATGAATTTAGATGTACTCTAATTTTTTTGTATACTACTAAAAGCTGCCCAGAAATTAGATGCTAATTTCTGTATCTTCACATATTACAGGGTAATCTTAAGCATCACAACCTTTTACAATTTTCGTAATTAGAATATTCGAAAAAGTTCATTTTTCCAATTATTTTTCCCAGTTAAAATTCATATTTCTAGCTCCATTTTTTCTTTCTCTTTGGGATTTCAGATTTTATTCTCCAGCTTGACAATGCCAAGCACTTTGATTTCCCATGAGGTGCTTTTGGAAACTATTTTAATATCCAGATGTTATAATTTGTAATTTTCTAGATTCATTTTTTTTAAAAAAGGACTATTCCTAACACATTTTCAAATTCCTTGAGGGGGGTGGGAAAAAAAAGATAAGGGGAACAGGGAGGTGATCAGTCACGGGCTCTAAGTAGAACACCCTGGAAAAAAAAACAAGTAAGCCTGAGTAGAGAGGATCTGTGCTATTTCTAGGCATATATGAAAATATGGGTCTTTGTACAGATATAGAATAGGATTTTTTAAAATGTGCACCCTTAAGTTAACATAAATGCACTTCACCCACAAAGCCTGCTGTGCTCTGAGGTCAAGTTTAAAAATCTTATAAAGTCTTCAGAATAAGTACTGAAAAGCCAAGCAACTGAACATGAACCTGTTATATAGATTCTTTTCTTTTGCTGAGGCAGAGGGAGGAAAAAAAAGAATTTCAAAAGAAATCTGCAAACCTGTTGCGCTGTCGGGCCCACTGGAATCCACGGGGGTGAAACAAATGCAATTACGCTTTTATAGATCCTGCTCAAAAAAGGTTTCAACTGCTTAATCAAGTACAGCTCACTCTTCCACCTTCTTACTCTGCAACCAAACCAAGTGCCCCACACTACAGGTAGGTGCCGAGAAATTCCGCAGCCTGAAAAAATAATCCATGCAGGTCAAAGGCAGAAACTTACTCCAGGATGAGGGCTACTGTCCCCAAGAACTCTCAAAACACTTATAGAAGATCCAAAATCATTTCTGAAATCGCCTTTCTAACAAAACTTCTTTTTTTTCCGAACACCATATAAAATGTTCAAATCTTGAAAGAGAAAAGAAGCAAAGTAGCAAATACATCAGCAACACTTCACTACCAGAAACACAGAAAATCCCAGAGGGAGAAGGCAATATCTCTGAATCATGGATGGACTTGGAAAGTTCGGAAGGATTCGAGTGTTTCCCTTCCAGAAAGACAATTCTGGATCAACTCCCTAGAGCAAGAAGCCTGTGGTTTGTAATTGGTGTTCTAGCTCTGACTCCCTCCCCTGGGACTGCAATCACGCTCTCTACCTGCTGACAAAGTGAGGGTGGAGCAGCCAGAGGCAACCACCCCCCACCCTGCCCCTCCTCCTTCTGGTACGCACACACATATCAACCAGACGCGTTCTTTCCCTCTCTCCTCTCTTAGCTCCTCTACTCCCTCTATTGAGCCACAGCCAAACTGCATCTAATTTCATCCTCAATACCTTTCTCTGGGTAAGCAAGCTACCACATGTAAATCAGGGTCACTCAAACATATCTAAGCAGATTCTGCACCCAACAGAGCATAGATGATGGTATGAGGAAATAAACAAAAAAAGAAAAGAAAGAAAATTCAGAAGATAAAAGAATGGACACAGGTTTTGCAAATACTGAAGTTCTGCTCTTCCTGAATTTCAGTGTCTATAAATGGCACAAAGCCAGGATAAAGTAATTCTGTGCAGTAGCATTTACTGATTTATTGTTGAGTATGTCAGCTACCCTGGGGAGGACTCTGTCCATTCTACACATAGCTTTTCTTCAACTTTTACTAATTTAAATTCAGTAGCTCTGTCCAGACTGTGCCTGCATGGAGTTTTCAGATTAGGTTGATGTCAGAGGTCTGGAATCCAATTCTTATTTTCTTTTCACATCTTTGGGAGGTGAAATAATATTACAGATCATACCTATGCCCTGGGTCATGAATATAAGCAAAGGGGTAAAATATGTTCAATGAAAAGAGTGTAAGCAAAAAGAAAACGAATTTCTGGCTAATCACTACATTTATTAACTAGAACCCAAGGTAGCTACCTTGCCATTAGAAATCATAAAAAAATTTCTAATATATTTATGACATTGGAATTTTCAAATTTACTAGATTATATTTAACTGTGGCCAGACACTTTATTTTTGAATTGCTGCCAAAAACTTTCAAAACTATACAAATGAATAACAATGTGAATATAGTTAGCATACAAAACTGTATACTTAAAATGGTTATGATGGTAAATTTTATGTGTTTTTTACTCATGTCCAAATGAACATCTGTTTCATCATCTGTAAAGTGTCAATAATAATTGCACTACAAGTTTGTTGTAAAGATTAAATGACATAATGATCCTAAAAGCAAAAAGTATGAGTGGCCTACTCACCTTGAATATTTTTTCCCCTATAGATAAGGTTTATGAGAATAGTTTCAGAATTTTAGATATAATAACTAACTTAGAACAGAGGTAAATTCTAAAGTAAACTCTTAATTTAGCATTTATTCTTTCTTGCTTGGACCTTAAGAATATAATGCAAGTGCCATTGTCCATCAATACCACAGGAAACTGGTTCCAGTATCCCCTGAGAATACCAAAATCTGCCAATGCTCAAGTCCTTTATAGATGGTTTACTATTTGCATATAATCTATGCATATCCTCTTTAAATAATCTCTAGACTATTTATAATACCTAATGCAATGCTTATACATCACTTAGTTCCCATGGATTCAATGTGTATGGCACACGGAAAAACTCACGTTTTGCTTTTTTGAACTTGGTGGAATTTTTCCCCCCAAATTTTTCAATCCAAAGTTAAATGAATTCATGGATGTGGAACCCAATGATACAGACAGTCAACTATATAAACTGTAGTTTTTTTCCTAAAAGATAGGAAAAGCTCTAATTCTACCAGAGAGAATTTTTAAAGATCTATTGTGGTTTATGTTTTTATTCTATGTATGTTATATAATTATATAGCATAAATAATGCAAAATATACATTACAAATCATTGATATTCACAAAATTATCTCTAAACAAAAATTACCCACCTACAAATGGACTTTGTCTAATTTATTTATTTGAAACTTGCAAAGAAATTGAGATCTAAACCTCATAATTAATGTATATACTTGGTTGAAAGAAGGAAGAACATTATAAATGCAGTTGCCCTCCCTTGAAGAAACTCTGAGATCTGAGAAAGATGACATGTTTCATGAATCTGGAGACCTTGAGAAACTCAAGATAAAACCAAACAGCTCTACGTAGTTTAGTTCACTGATATACTGTGTTTATTTAGGTCACCAGAATTACAAGATAAATTATTCTTTGACTTCAAAGTTTTGGAGTTATACTTCACAGGTTGATATGCCACAATATTTCCCCAGAGATGACATAATATGCTTGCACTATCATAATGAAATGCCCATCTCACCACCTACTACCTAATTGTACATATGAGACAGATCACCCTCCAGGATAATTTTCACCTTGGCGTGACCAAATTGACTAAAGATCATTAATCCCTTTTCAAAAGACCAGGTTTCTGTAAAACATGTCTAAGAATTGCCTTTATCCTTAATGACATTTTAAAAATTAAAGCACTATTCAAGTGCAAATGAAAAAAAAATTTAATCACATTCTTTGAAAAACAGAGTATATTCCCTTTTGAACTTTACTATTATTATTAATGGTCATAATGATTGAGTTTTCTATTGACCACCAATCAAACAGTAAAAACAAGCAAGACAACAAGTCCAGTTGGAACGCTCACTTTATTGTTGATTGACTGAAATTTGTCAGTGGTTAAGGTGCTGAAATACTGAGGTGCCAGTCAGGAACCTTGTTAGTTGACTGGTTGTGTCAGATCCTACTGATTAATTTACAAGAAGATTTTTATTATACCTTTTGTCATTTTGCCCAAGTCATTAAGGATAGCTTTAGTTGATAGGTACCAGACATGTGAGTATAGTAGGAGATCCAGCTCCTTGGTCTGTTGCAGTCATGTATAAAAATGTTTGGAAAGCTGATTAAGGCATTTCATTAACTGAGTCTTAAAACCACTGAAACCAAATCTATGCCAAAGTTCCTGCTTGACACATATTTCTCAAAAGATATTATCTCAACATATATAAAGCTAAGAAGGCCATATTTAAGGAAAGAAATATCACCTACATAGTACGTCAGTTCTTCAACATGACAGAGAAAAGGCAGAGTTCTTTCATTTAGACATTGCCAAAATATTATATAGTCTGGTCAAAAGATGTAGCCATCTTGATAATTTTTTCATCTTTTAAACCTTGCTATTAAAGATGAATAAATGTCTATCACATAGCCTTATCAAATGGACCAGACAGGACACTTTTCAGAGCCTACTTTAATACCTAAACTGAATCACTGCAGACCAATACAGAGCTCACCCCAACACTTTTAGGGTTTGATATCATTGGAAAGGCATAATGCAATATAGGAAATGAACTGTTACACCCACAATAGTGAGATGTCATATCAGTAAGTGCCTTTTCTTTTAAATTAATTTCATATTCCTGGGCTTTCCTTTTGTTTCTGCAGTGCTTATGAGGAAAACTGAAGCAGAATCCAATAGAAAGGTACAGTCAATTTAAAAGGTTTTAAATCAGAAAGATTCTTGTGTCATTGGATGAGCAAGTAAGGGATCAGCCACAGAAAGTGTACATCCAAGATATCCTTCTCTCCTAAAAAATAAAATAAAGGCCCAAAATCTACTACTAAGACTTAGAATTTTATAGAAGGGATAAGAAAAAAATTTTATAGTCTATCCCACTATCCAAAATTCTTTCAGAAGCTTAAATCAGATAGAAATTATTTTTTAAAATCTGAGGCACAGCTTCTGCTAAATGACTACTAATCTGTTTTTTCCCAAATTTGCACACAACACCTTATATAGATGAGGATTTTTACTTATTGAACGCAAAAATCTAAAATAAGAAAACATTGTGTTGTCTCTTGTTTTTGTTAACACATTGTACCCTTTCTCCTTTAAAATAAAAATATTACACATGAATCCTTTATCCTTCCATCCTGCAATAATGATAAAAATATAGAGCTTTAAAACCTTTAAATCTACCAGCATTTATAAATACAATTATATTAAACAAGTTAAATACTTTTCTTTAGCAGATATTTAAATAAGTGATATATTAACAAAACCTTCCTATCATTTATGATAATGTATCATTAAAATAAAGAAATACACGAAAATAGGAGAATGCTCCCATTAATATAAAAGAATCAGGGGCTGCTAAGTGTGATGGATAGTCCAAGTCTGGATGCCTTGCTCTTGAAACAGAATACTGGGTTAGGAAGTAAGAGACTTTCCTGGTTAATCGCTTAGAAAATTAGCTCTTCCCCAGAGTTTCTTCCCTGGAATTCCTGACCCATTTAGCCCTGTGATCTTGGTGACCTCACGTGTCTTTGTTTCTCACACAATCTTCTCTAAAAGGATCACACTGTGACTTGAAACAGAGACTGAACTCCCCACTGGAGTTGTGCTGACTAGTTTGAGAGTGGCAAGACAGCCAATCAGCACACATGCAGATTTGTCTTCAGTACCTTAGATGCAGCAGATTTTAGAAGCTTTTCGGCTGTAACAGAAGTCCAGGACTTTTCATTTGAAAGTTATCTGGGCAGAAAAAAAAAATGGCTGCTAGATGTTTAGAAGTTTGTCAAGGCAAATAATCTAAAATAAATCGCTGTAGTAAATACCAAATTCTCAATTCTCAATGAACAAAATTCTCAATTAACAAAACAAAAATACTTTTTTTCCTTAACAGAACTGAAAAAATCCTAACAGCATGTCATGTGCAAGGCTAGTCTGCCTTTAGCTACAGCTAGTGCACAATGTCACATGTATCATCCATTCCTCACTCTTTTAATTCTTCCTCCTTTGGAAAGTGCTCCTGCTTGCAGGCCACGTCCACCAGCAGATGAAGATCTAGAAAGAAAGGATTGTTTACTCACTCTTAGCCTCTCTGTAAAGATTCATAGACTAGTCTTCAGACAAGAAGAACAAGTTGTCTTTATGTCTCACCTGTAGAATTGGCTTGAAAATTATATTGTCCCATCAGATTCTCAATTTTAGTTAACAACTAAAGTTGTTTATAACTCTAAAGCACACTGAGGCAGCCCAGTTATTAATTCAAAGAGATCAACACAATTTAAAGTTTCTCTTCTTTTCACTGGTATGGTCAAGCCTCTTTTCATTTCAATTGCCTTTTATTATAAATAAAAAGGGAAATATATACACACAAATGAAAATTAATTTCCTCTATGCTATATGGATAGGTGGATGTGTTGTGGGAATATGAAAAGGTAATGCCTTCAGAAAAGCAATGTTAGAAGTAATCACTACTTTCCCAAATTCCAACTTTTCCAAAGTTGATTGCCTCCATAAAAGTCCCACTTATTGACTAACAGCTGAACTCTTGTGAAAACACCTAGTGAACTATCTGTAAAAAAGAAAGCATATCATCACAGAGATTAAGAGACAGAGTAATTCATTAAGAGTGAAAGGAGGCCAGGCTTGGTGGCTCAGCCTGTAATCCCAGCACTTTGGGAGGCTGAGGCGAGAAGATTGCCTGAGCCCGTGGGTTCGAGACCAGCCTGGGCAACTTGGTGAGACCTCGTCTCTATAATAAATCAAAAAAACTAGCCGGGTGTGATAGTACACGCCTGTAGTTCCAGCTACTTGGAAGGCTGAGGCGGAAGGATCACAGGAGCCCAGCAGGTCGAGGCTGCGGTGGTCGGGAGTGTGCCACTGCACTCCAGCCTGGGCAACAGAGTGAGACTCCGACTCAGAAAAAAAAAGAGTGAAAGGAAGGGACCAGGCGCAATGGCTCACATCTGTATTCCCAGCACTTTGGGAGGCCAAGGCAGGAGGATTGCTTGAGCCCAGGAGTTCAAAACCAGCCTAGCAACAGATTGAGATCTCTTCTCTACAAAAAAAAAAATGTTAAAAAATTAGCCAGGTGTGGTGGCACGCACTTGTAGACCCAGCTACTCAACTTGAGGTGTAAGAATCGCCTGAGCCCAGGAGTGAAGGCTGCAGTGAGCTGTGATTGTGCCACTGTATCAATGTACTCCAGCCTGGGCAACAGAGTGAGACCTGAACTAAAAAAAAAAGGAATAAAAGAAGCTAACGCTATGTGTGGAAGTAGAACTAAAAGGCCTATCTGAAGAACATAAGCAGCAATAAAAATCTTAATGTGGCTTCTAGATTTCTAGATTCAACCTAATTTACAATTTCTAGGGCAACATGGCCAGGGAGGCTCTTTAGGTTGGTTTTCTTTTCTTTCTTTCTTTCTTTCTTTCTTTCTTTTTGTAAAGATGAGGTCTCATCATGCTGCCCAGGCTGGTTTTGAACTCTTGGGCTCAAGCAATACTCCTGCTTTGGCCTCCCAAAGTACTGGAATTACAGGCATGAGCCACTATGCCTAGCCCTTAGGTTGGTTTTAAGGTTGCAATTTTACCCTAGCATTTGGGAATTAAACTAAACTATACGGCATGAATCCTTTATTTCATTCTTGACATACAGAAACTTTTGTCACTATATTTGTGGCACACAACCTCTGAAGGATTGGTCCATAGCCTGGGTAGGAAAGCTGATTCAGATAAAATGGAATTCTACTACTACCTTTGAGAAAATCTAAGCAGCGTTTGGAGCAGTACCTAAGTTTTGCCATACTTTGTAAAAAATAGTCTACTGACAGGTGCTTGCTCATCTGGTGATATTAATACAGCCTATCCCTAAACAACAAGTAATTTATCCAGATAAGCATTTTTCAGGGGGAGAACTGACTGACAGTTTATCACTAAAAATTGGTTTATTTTACATCCATGATCGCAGCAGTATTATTCACAACAGACAACAGGTAAAAGCAATCTAAGTCGGTGGCTCAGCCTGTAATCCCGCGCCTTTGGGAGGCTGAGGTGAGTGGATTGCCTGAGCCCGTGGGTTCGAGACCCGCCTGGGCAGAGAGACCTCATCTCTATAATAAATCAAAAAATCATCTGGGCGTGGTAGCGCATGCCTGTAATTCCGGCTACTCGGAAGGCTGA